GGAAAAGTGTAACTGCAGCTGTGGAGGAGAAATAAATATAAAAATAACATGAATAAAGAGCCAAGGCTGACAATCATGCTACAGAGAGATGGTAATAGAAAATGAAGCAGGAACAATGAGTAAAAAGGGCTTTAAAGTGAACTATAACTTTTTTTCTCAGGTGAGCCTCAGAAACAGAAGGAGGCAGAACTTCGTCACGAAGAACTTTCCTCTCAAGTGGGCGGTTGCAATGACTTTGCAACCCTTTTAAATATTTTTGAACAGTGCAAATCAAGGTATAAAATGATTCCCTAAAGTAAGTGGTTTTGCATGGCTCTCGACTTGCAGTTGCTGGTGCTTTTTTAACTGTATTCCATAGGTACATGTACCCCTACCTAGCTGCAGATATCTTCCTTGGTGTGACAGAGAATTTCTATCAAGACACCTATTATGTAAACTAACAAAGTAGCTGCCTGTGTAGGTTGCCTTCTTTGTACGACCATAACAAATAATAGAGGCAACTTTCTGCCTTCAGCTTACAAAGAGCTTCTTTATAATACCAGTATTTCTGTCCTCAGCAAGTCTCCTTCAGCTTGGTGCCAGAAACACTGGATCCATTGGAGAGCTTTAAAGACTGCTTTTAGTGTGGAAACACAACTTCGGGAAATAATCAGTAAACTGAAACAGGTGAAAAATCTGCTTTTAAAATGTGATTGAGTTATATAAGCTTGTATGTAAGACATGCTAGAATCCTGGGCCTTTTCCAGATAGCTGTTGTCTTTCTCAAGTAGAAACTAAACCAGCTAAATTTCTATTACAGCATCCTTGCTGTAGCTTATGTAACTAACAGAGGTGTGGTGAGGGTAATGAGCAGAAAGAAGTTTTCTTCCTTTCCTCACGGCTTCTGTGAGGTGTGGAGCACAAAACTTAAAATCCCTGGGGTGCAGGGAGAGTTTTTTTTTAATCAAAGATCCTAATTCATGTTGTTTTTTTCCTTTTCTTTACATAGCTGCCAGACTTCCCTAGAGAAAAATTTGAAGGCTCCAGAACTGAAATACTAAGAAGATGTCTGTGTGCAGGGTACTTTATCAATGTAGCTAGGAGGTAAGTAATGGAGTTTGCAGAACAGGATAGAAAAGATAGGATGTTGTTGTTGTTGTTGTAGTACTTGCATATTGAAACAGAATAGCTAGACTGCAGTATTTTAGTTTTTCTATCTATGAAATGAATTTCAAGGCGATAAGCAGTTGAAGTTGTTGCGCTAAAGGGTATTGAAGGTGTCAGGTGATTATGAGTACCAAAAAGACTAAAAACTCAAACCCTGTTTATCATTGCATAGCTAGACCTACAAGGTTACTCTGGTAAATCAGAAGGATATATTTTATTCCTCATGTTTTTTACATTTATTTCTGGAAGAACTTTGCCTTACTTATATGTTTGAGCATTGTCTACTATGTTGCTGCTGACTTGCTTCGTTTATGTTGTTGTCTAATCACAGCAAAGTTTGTTTCAGTCTATATAAAAATTTTGCTTTTTTTTAGGTCTGTAGGCAGGACCTTTTGCACAATGGATGGACATGGCAGCGTGGTCTGTATTCATCCTTCATCTACAGTAAGTTACTGAGTTACATTAATAAAGTAGCAAATGATCTGCAAAAGGAATAAGAGGAAGTTCACTGTAAACTTTTCATCTTCTGTTTGATTTAATTTATGGCCAGGAAAAACACTGGTGCAGTGTCACTAGAGTACAGTATTTTTTGAGGATAGGGCAGAGCCTTCCTTACCTCTTTGCATTTGGGTTTGGCTTATAAAAGAGGTATGGCATAGACTGAGCTCTTTCTCTGACTTTCTTTTGATTTTCTGTGCAACTTTAAGCAAGTCATTATGCCTAATTTTCCCAGTCTGAGAATTTAGGGTAATGTCAGCTTTACCTGATTTTTACATCTGAAGCATTGGGATACTGCAGTGGATGGTGCTCTAGAAATACTGAAACACTGAAATACTCTTTCTATTTTTCAGTTATACAACCAGGAAACTCAGCTCGAGTGGATCATCTTCCATGATGTCACAGTGACATCCAAAATCTACGTCCGGACAGTGTGTCCAATTCGCTACGAATGGGTCAAAGACTTGTTGCCCAAATTGCATAAAATTGATGCGTATGAACTGAGCAGTGTGGCACGGGAAGAAGTAACTGAAGAGGAAATAACCAGGTGGCAATTCAGAGAGGACCTTAAAAGGCAATATGGTAGGGGTATTAGGCACCCGTAGATGTGGATTGGTAGTTGTGGAAATGTGTGTGTGTGTG